GAGTCCGACGTGTGACCGTGGCCGCTCGGGAGCCGACTCCCGGGAGTGCGGAGCGTGGGACTGGCCCCGGCCCGGGCAGGGTGACTCTGCCCAGGCCCTTCCTTCTGGAACTCGGTTTCCCCCTCGGAACCTGGGGGAGATGGGACGAGAGGATCCCGAAGGCCCTTCCTAGCGCCGGCGGTAGAGGGGGAGGGAGGGCCTCGTGGCCCCCGTGGAGGCCCAGTCTGGGGAGTGGTCACCGGGATGGGCGATGAGAGACCTGCTGAATAAAGTTAAAACGTTACAGAAATGGCTTGTGAGTTTAGATTAGGGTGCAGATGTCGAGGAAGGGGGCAGAAGGGCTTCCGTGGTTAAGCGCATGGGGTTCGGGCTTCAGGCTGTGTGACCCTGGGCAAGCATTTAACCTCTCTGGACGCAGCTGCGCCCCCCCCCCAGTTATTAAGCGGGGGAGAGGGAGGAGACAATAATATTTTGAAATCGTTGTCCCGCGCATGGCAAAGTGCCTCGCATATAGGACGTGCTCGACTAACGATAGCTGCGTTGACTACTACGGAATAACTACTAACACTATGGTGAGCATCTCCTCCACTGGGCCCCAAACTAGAGCTGAGACTAGCGCGTTTGGGGAGTCCTAGGCGGAGTCTGCTCCAGGAATCTGGGGTCCACAGGTCCCTAAAGGGACGCCATTCCTGGAGAATTGCTGTTCCCTTGTGGCCACTGAAGGGCTGAAATATGGAGGATCGGATAGTGAGCACATTAGAAGAAACCAGTTGTGCCGGCCTGCAGCCTCACATCCTGCCACTGCCTCCCTTTCCCCTCAAGGACACAGAAGGTCATCTGTTTCCTCACACGTTCACATCTCTAAGCCTTTGTCCAGGCCCCTCCTTCCTTTGCCTAGGATACTGTTCCCTTTCGCTCAACTCATCCTCCTAAGATTACGTATATTCTCCTTCCTCAATTCCCTACTCTGCCTCACCTCTTCTGAGCTCCCAAGTACAGCCCTACTTTTGTGCCTCAAGTTGTCAGCTTGTGTGGGACGCGCTGGTAGTCCTGGTTCTTTCGTTATTCTCTGACCTTTTCCTAGTACAGGGGCCGTGCACATAGTAGGGCCACAGGCAACGTGTGCTTAACTGAGGATGGACAGGGCGACGGATCCGGTCCTCTGGGGCTCCCTGCTTTCCCCCAAAATTGTACCTTGACTCTAACACACGCCATCCCGATACCCGTACATTCCCTGGTCATTTCCCCCCCGCATGTTTGTGGAGGAAACCACAAACCCCGCCTGAGGCCGCCCACGCCAAAGCTGCCTTTCTTGATGTCCGGACAAAAGCACGCGGTCACACGGGTTGTCGGCCCAGGGGGTTTTATCAGGCGTGGGCGCAGCGGGCGCCCAGTTGGGCCAGCTGGCTAGTCGCCCTTGGGCGCAGCCTTCACCCTCATCTCCGCCAGCTTGTGGGTGAGGAAGCCCCACTTGAAGCCCGCCACTGAGTCGGCCTCTCGCGGCTCGGGACGCTCGGCGGCCTCCTCCGCGGCCTCGTGCCCGGGTTCGGGGTCCGGCTCCGGCGTGGATTCGGCGCCGCGCAGCATGGAGGCGGCCGCCGCCGGCTGCTGCTGCCACCTGCTGGCGAACGCGTCCCAGAAGCCCGGCCCGCGCGGCTCCGCCGCCGCCGCCGCCTGCGATGGGGGCGGCGCCGCCAACGGGCTGCGGGAGAGGCGCGGGTCAGCGGGCGCGCCGGGCGGCCGGGGGAGGAACACGGAGGGGAGGCGGGGCCGAGCCGTGGGGCCAGGGAGGCCAGGGCGAGGTCAGGGGCTGCGGTGCCGAGCGGGGTCAGGTGACGGGGCAGGGGGGACGGGGGAGGCGGCACGAGGGGG